AAGCTGATTGCTTCAGTTTCTAACTGGTGGTTTGAAAGAAAATGGCCACAGCCCATAGGGAGCGTGGCCCCACTGGGGGTGTGGCCTTGTTGGAGGTAATGTCACTGGGGGTCTACAAAGCCAGTTTACTTCTGCTGTCTGCAGATCCAGAGGTAGAATTCTGCTGCTCCAGCACCGTGTCTGCCTGCGCCCACCAGGCCTGCCGCCATGAGGATGAGCTACACTCTGTAACTGTACGCCAGCCCCAATTAAATGTTCTCCTTTATAAAAGCTGCCGTGGGCATGGTGTCTCTTCACAGCAATAAAACCCTAAGAGATGGACTAACCCGATTGTGTGTGTGTGTGTGTGTGTGTTTTGAAGTTCTGCAATCTAACACTGAAATGTGGTTATAGGGAAGGCTAAGAACATGACTGCAGAAAGACTGTAAAATATACTAACATAAGTGCACAATTACATCTTCGCCTACCTACTTAGCCACCCTCTGTGTAGTCCTGGCTGGTCTGGAACTCCCTGGATCTGCCTGCCTCTGCCCCGCCCCTCCACGCCCAGTGCTCGGCAGTGCCCACAGTGATCCATCTGTCCCTCTCCCCCACCCTAGGCGCACACATGCCATAGTTCATAGTGCAGTTTGGAGGACAGCCTGCGGTCCTCTTTCCCCTTCTACCGTGTTTAAGGCAGGGTCCTGACTGTTCACTCCTGGGTATGCCACGCTGGCTGGCTGGCTGCCAGCTTCTGCGGTCTCCTCGCTATCCCTGAAGGAGAGCTGGGATCGTAGACTGCAGCACTTCGTCAGGCTTTGCACGGGCTCTGGGGAGCCCAACTCGGGTCCTCACACGTGTGCAGCAGCTCTTTATACTGGGCCATCTCCTTAGCCTCACAATGTTATTTTTAAGGTGTCCCAAGGGGGCTGGAGAGATGGCTCAGAGGTTAAGAGCACTGGCTGTTCTTCCTGAGTTCAATTCCTGGCACCCACATGGTGGCTCACAACCACCTGTAGTGAGATCTGGTGCCCTCATGCAGGCATACATGCAGGCAGAATATGTATGAATAATAAATCTTTTTTAAAAAGGTGTCCCAATGGCCACTTTCCAGGACCGACTACTGGAAAGACTGGTCAGTGACTTAAGAACAAGGCAGAGAAGCAGGTGGCTAGAACCCAGAATACTGACAGGAGACAGTGACAGTTCTGGCCACTAAATAAGAGCCTGCCCCTTCTGGGCGGCAGAAACCCTTCTCAGCAGAGAACAGCTGAAAATCCAGAGGTGACATGGGAGCGTTTCCTGGTGGTTATATAATCAGAATGGCACATCATTGAGAAGCTTGCAGTTTTGCAGGTTAAAGGAATAAAACATGGGGTTGGGGAAATAACAAGAGGAGATGAGGGAGGAGGCTACAGCTGGGATACAAAGTGAATAAATTATAATTAATAACAATAATAAAAAAATTCGAAAAAGAATAAATGGTGGAAGGTGGGAGGCTGGTAAATACTGCCACAGAAAATGAGCTGTTATTCCCAGTCTATTTTTGACGGTTGATTTCCAGCCCTTCACAAGTGATTTAAAGTGCTGCACACCTTTTTTCCTGAAGCATCCGTGGTTTAGATGTTTCATTCAAGGACCGGAAGAGGTCTGATTTGTTAAGGAGATGCGCGGGCAGAAAGCGTTCTATTCCCAGGGAGGAAATGTGGGCGGCTATTCATTTGTTACAGGAAGCTCTCGCTGACAATGCACCAGAGCTGCACTAACTTTGTTCTCTTTTGTTTTTTGACACTGGGTTTCTCTGTATAACCTTGGCTGTCCTGGACTCTGGATTCAATTTGTAGACCAGGCTGGCCTCAAACTCACAGAGAGAGGGAGGGGGCTACAGCTGGGATACAAAACGAATAAACTATAATTAATGTAAAAAAAAAAAAGAGAGATAGGACCACCTCTGCCCCCCCAAGTCTGGGCTTAAAGGCATCCCCACCACACCCAAGTAGTTGGTATTTTGAGTGAAAACCTTTCTTCTTCTCCTCCTCCTCTTTTTCGTGTGTGTGTGCACGTGTGCGCATATGTTCAGGGTTTTACTGTGTAGGCCAGGTTGGCCTTGATCTCACATAGACCTGCCAGCTTCTGTCTGCCGGGCACTAGTGTGTGAATGACTTCCTGGCTCGAGAGCCGGCAAGAAGAGAGGTTCAAGTCAGCAGAGATGGTAATAGGAAGGTGTGAGCCCAGCACCCGAGGCTGGGGGTCAGCACCCTTGCTCAGGAGTTGGCTCTCCGAGTTCACAGCAGCCCAGCGGGGCTGTGCACCCAAGCCAGGGGAGGCCACCTAGTTCACACCGAGTGGCCTGGATCCCACTGCACGTGCCTTTCTAGTCCCCGGTCCAGACACGCTTCTTTTTATTTCCTGGAGTCTTTCAGGGCAGGCCCGTCGCCTGCGTTGCCTGTGTGGCCACAGCAACCGTCTTCCCTGGCCTGCACCTCACTCGGGTGCTCTCTCTCCCATGCTTTCCTGGGCCTCTCAGGTCCTCCGCTTGTTCTTTTTAGTTTCTTTTTGAGACGGAGAATCATGCACCACAGGCTGGCCTCCGACTCACTCTGAAGTCCAGGATGGCCTCAAACTCCGGATCCTCCTCAAACTCCGGATCCTTGGGCTGCAGCCCCCCAGTGCTGGGATGACAGGCATGTGCCACCACCTTAGTTTTTGTGGTGCTACGGATGGAACCCAGGGCCTGTGCTTTTAGGCAAACTCTCTACCAAAGGAACCAACCCCTAAACACAAATCCTCTTTCCTCCCTGCAGTACTGGGCAATGAACCCAGGGCCTCACACATTCTGTGCAAAGGCTCTTCTGGTTCCAAGCACTCCCCCTGGAGCACACACAGGGCGGCCTCTCTCTCACACTGATAAGGACATCCCTGGGGTCAAATTCTCTGTCTTAGTTTCAGTCCCCTAACCACGTCAGTGTTGTCTGTGGAGCAGGGAAAAGCAGGGGAGGACAACGCGGCTGAGCTGTGTCAGGGAGAGACAGAGACAGGCAGTGAGCTGCTGCTGAGCATTCATTGTGGACCATGCTCCTTGTGCCCCAGCAGCATGGACCACACCTTGAAATGCTGTGGGATGTCCGCTGGAGAAGACTGCTTGGGCATGGAGTCTCTTAGCCAGCTAGCGACTACACTGGGTGTTGGAAGCTCAGTGTAGCCTTGAGCCTTTCCCAGAGTGAACTTTAAAGCATAAAAACCATGTCCTGAGTTGACATACTTCAGTCAGCAAGAACGTCATGCTGGAGGGGAGGCAGGTGGGCAGGGCCCTTGCTTATCACCTGTGAACCACGATTCCCAGGTCACTGGAAACAAGGCAGAAAACTGCAAAGAGCTAGGCGTGCGAAGCAGAGAAGAGGCCAAATAACACTGGATCCCATTTCCGAGAGACAGCACGCCTTGATCTCACCCAGTGAGTCAGTTATAGACTGGATAACAGCTCGGCAAGGCAAGCTCATGACGCTTCAGCCGTCTAAAAATGAGGTGTTAACTACGAGCTGCTAGTCAAAACGCTAACATGCTTAAACTAAGCATTTCACATGGGTTTGCTGCCGGTGGTATTTACCAACGGGAGCCTTTGGGGATGTCATTCTCCTGGGGTCCGACAGTGATGTTCTTTTGCCTCTTCACTCTTCCTGATGGTGACATGTGGCAGGAGTGGCTTCTCTGTTTCAATTCATTATCACATTTTCTTTTTACAAGGCTACCTTTCTAAAAAATTAAAATAATTTCATTATGTGTATGTGGGTGTCCTGCCGGTATGTGTGGCTACATGCCACGTGTGTGCTGGTGTCCAAGGCCAGAAGGAGGAACTGGATCCCGTGGAACAGCAGTCACAGACGGATGTGAGCTGCCATGTGGGTATTAGAACTCAAATCCAGGTGCCACTGAGCCATCCAGTCCAACATTCTCTCTTCTTTAATGTTACCATTGTTTTGTGTGTGTGCGCGCGCACGGAAAACATGAATGTAGAGGCCAGATGTCAACATCTGGTGTCTTCCTGGATTGCTTTCTACCTTTTTTTTTTTTTTTTTAAGATTTATTTATTTGGGGGCTGGAGAGATGGCTCAGTGGTTAAGCACTGTCTGCTCTTCCAAAGGACATGAGTTCAATTCCCAGCACTCACATGGCAACTTACAACTGTCTGTAATGCCCATTCCAAAGGACCTGATACCTTCACGCTAATGTACATAAAATAAAGATAAATAAATATTAAAAAAAGATTTCTTTATTTATAGTTTTCTGCCTGCACGTACACCTGCATGCCAGAAGAGTGCATTACAGATGGTTGTGAGCCACCATGTGTTGCTGGGAATTGAACTCAGGACCTCTGGAAGAGCAGCCAGTACTCTTAACCTCTGAGCCATCTCTCCAGCCCTCTACCTTACTTTTGAGATGGTCTCTCACTAAACCGGAAGCCCTCCTCTCTTGGACTGTTGGCCAGCGAATCCCAGAGATCCTTCTGTTTTTGCCTTCTCGGTGCTGGGGTTGCAGGTGGGCCACCACACCAAGCTTTTGCACAAATTCTGAGGCTTGGACTCAAGCTATCATGCTATATGGCCAATACCTCATCATCTGAGCCTCCTGCCAACTCCACCATCCCTTATTGTGGATACAGGGTCTCCACATAGCCCTGTCTGGCCTAGAAATTGCTCTGTAGACCAGGCTGGCCTCAAACTCACAAAGATCCACCTGCCTCTACCTCCTGAGAGCTAGGATTAAAGGTGTGTACTACCATGATTCCTTTGTCACCATCGTTTTTAAAAGAGGTAACATGAATAAACTTAACAAAATAGGATGTGGAGATGGAGAGATGGTCCAGTGGTTAGGAGTACCTGCTGCCTTTTAAGACCAGAGTTCAGTCCCCAGCAGCCATGCTGGCACAGCTGCTGGGAACACTAGGTCTAGGAGATAGGAGGCCTCTGCAGGCCACTGCTCTCAGGCGCACATACCCTGCACAGGGACACACACACACATAATTTAAAAACACCTTAACAAGGTTTATTCTTAAAACAAAACAAAATATTACCAGAATTTGAAAACCAGAAAATGAGAACGAAGAGACAAAGGCTGTTTTGATAATGGGCATGGTTTTACACATTCAAAACAAACCAAAATGCAAAAAGCAAACCAATAAGCAAACAGAAAAGTAGAACGCAAGGTGTGTATGGCATTACGCTTCACATTTTGTCGTTCATTCTCACACTTACCCAAAGCACACAAGTTCTACACAGATGCCATGTCTGATTACAGTGAGTTTATTTATAGAAATATTTCGATAAAGACTACTGGTGCAGAAATAAAACAAGGAGGCAACACCCCGAACGTGCGCCCAAAGTCTTGGTTTGGAGGTGCTTTACAAGAAGTAGGCTGGTCATGGTCTGCCTGGAATTCATTTAATAATGAAGACTAAGCTCCAAAATTTCCCTGATTGTTCTGGAATGTTCCATTTTATACCACACAGTCCAGAACCAATACTAATCAAGGAGCAACTCTCAGTAACTGGGAATATATTTATTACATATTATCTATGTGTAATGCAGTGATTAAGGTGTAGAAGAGGAAACAAAAGCTGAAGGAAATCTTGCTGAAACATAATTTCCGATCTGCATGGAGTCAGTAGGACCATAGACATGCTTCCCACCATACCTGAGTACTTAGCACAAACCCTAAACTTTACTTCTCGATTTATGTTTAAAAACCTGTCATTCTTAAATACTAGACAGATAACCTAAGTCGACGTGACATGCTGGCTTGGATTAGGGAGCCTCTGCAGTGGGGCCTGACACTGTCAGGCTGAGGACATGTTCTTCCCTGGCTCCCCTGCCTGGGAGAAAGTGAAATTTCAAGCCAAGCTAGAACACGAGTAGGTTTAGAACTTAAAAGACTACAAGCAGGTTTCAAGAGGACGGGTGTTGACAAAATAGTTCCTGTGGATAAATTAGAAAAAGGAAAATTTCAGGACAATCTGGAACTCGTTCAATGGTTCAAGAGGTTTTTTGATGCAAATTATGATGGAAGAGTGTGAGCCTGTGGCTGACGGACAAGATCAAGAAACTGCAGCAGCTCCTTCTCTTGTCACTCCAGCTCTGAGTAAACTAAGGAAGCCTCTCAGCTCCAGTCTATTGCAACACAGACAACTACTGCAGCTCCTGGGCTGGCCCAGACAGGGTGCAAAAGAACCCTGGTGCGGCCAGCGGGGACGACGAAGCAGCAGGTCAAAGAACTGAAGCTTACTGCTGAAGACTTGGAGAGATGTCTACTTTGGAAGGCTAAGGAACATTGAACTGATTTGCCAGGAGAATGAGAAAAAAATAACCCTGCACTGCAGAGACCTGTAGAAGAAGGTTTTGTGATACCTGATGAAGAGGGCCCACAGGAAGAAAAAGAAGAGAGAGAATTAAAATGAAATACTAGACAAGCATGAAGCTAAATCGTGTCAAGTCCTCCCACCTGCTTCACTTCTTCAGCAGAAACCGAGTGATGTCTGAGCCGTGCTTTGCTGCCAGAGCGCGCTGTCTCACCCGGCTTCTTTCCTTGGCTTGTCGGGCTGTTCTCTAGGAGTTAACAAATGCACAGCTCAGGTTAGGGGGAGGCTTCTTGCTCTGGTTGGGAATATGCACACTGTATGTGCAGTACTCAGCGCACAGGAAGAGCTCCAGGCCATGGGTTCCGACCACCTAGGCTTACGGGCCCCAGTTAGAAGAAAGTATCTTCTTGTGAAGAATGGCTCACTACCCAGAAGGCCATGAGTCCTGCATTGAGGACTACGGGAAGCCATGGTTCTCCACCTCTAAGGAGGTGCTTGTACACATCTTAAAATCCCCAGAGTTCAGTGGGTAAAAGTTTGTCCACTTCTTATTTTCTGGGCCCAAAACTCAGAAAATACATTCCCCACTCAACACATAAACACTGTATAAAATCAAATGGGATGGAACTGGATTCTTCTGCTATGTCCAAATAAGAATGTTCATGAGAATCCGAAAAGCGAATACAGAGAATATGACATTCTTACTAGTGATGCCATTACAGCCTCATGTAGCCAGCCCCACGGCACTCACTATGCAGCTGAGAATGGCCCTGAACGCCTTTTTGAGACAGACTCCCCCCAAACAGCTCTGGCTGTCTGGAACTGACTCTGTACACCAGGCTGGCCTTGAACTCAGAGCTCCCCTGCCTCTGCAGTGCTGTGCTACCATATCCTGCTGACCTTGACCTCATGGTCCCCCCTGCCTGCAATTCCCAATTTGTGCAGGGCTGGGCTGGAACCAGGGCCTTACGCACGTTAAAGGAGTGCTCTACCCACTCACTGTTCCTCGTCCTCAGCCCAGACAGCGAATGAAGAGGGTGGCAGCCTTCTGAGCCTGTGACTGTAGACGTCCCCAGAGCCGAGAGTGATGAAGGCAGCAGCAGGCCACTCCCCCCCCCCCCCGTCTCACCCAGCCATTCTCCCCTTGGACACTGGGACCCCGTTGTGAGTGTCACTGACCTCCTTGTGGCACACTGTGCAAAGAGTTTGCAGGTTGTCCAGGGAGCACTGTCCTCCTCCCTCGTACACCGGCCTGACGTGATCCACCTGCCAGAAGTGGCCTTCTCCTGGGTCTCTCAGCATGTCATTGAGCTGCAGAAAGAGCACAGTCAGCAGCTCCCAGCCCTGCAGGACGCACTGCGGGACGCACTGCGGGCTGTGCGCTGCACAATCCCTTGATGCAGCAAAGTCACACGGAGAAACACAGAGGATGACTCTGTGGTCACAGAGGGAGGTGGTGGTGCAGGGTCTCAGCAGAAGCAGAGGCAGGTGGATCTCTGTGAGTTCCAGGCCAGCCTTGTCTACAAAGCATAGTTGAGGATGGCCAGGACTACACAGAGAAACCCTGTCTCGAAAAAACAAAACAAACACACACACACACACACACACACACACACACACAAACAGAAAGACACATAGACTGATGGTACACAACCGAGGGCCCAGAAACAGATCCATACAGCCATGGACCTGTGATTTTTGACAAAAGTGTCATATACCCTGGAAAATAAAAATTAAAAAAAAAAAAACCAAACAACCTGTTCAGTAAATGGCGCTGGCCAAACTGGACACTTGTAAAGCATTCTAAGAAAGCGTGTGGGACTCTGGGATGCACAGTGACCCACATGGGGCCTCTGAGTGGTTCCCCCAGCAAGCTGGTGCAGGGGACTCATCCCTCTGTCCCCGCCTGCTCTTCTCCCTCTGTCCTGCACTTGGGGCCTTCTGTCAGCAGACACAGACTGAGGTTAGAAGTAACTACAAATGTCATTCTAAATGGCATATTCTCAGAAAAACAATCCATTTGGGCGTGCCTTTGCCGCCAGCTCTTTCTCTGTGAGCAGCTTTAACTGACAGGCTCAGCTCTGGAAGGCGCGTCTTTATTTATCCTGGTAAGCGTGTGCAGACCTTCCCTGGGGGCGCGGGGGATGGAAATGGACCAGCTCTCAACGTGCTGGATTTGCCTTATGGCACCTGTTCACGCAGCCTGAGCCTAGTGCTGAGGCATCTTCCCGCAGCACTTCCGGGCACAGGGTCTAAGCTGTGGCTGCTCCAGTCCTCGACAGGGCACTGTCAGGATGACCTTCGGGGGCCAAGGGACATCTCAGGGCATTGTTAGAGAAACAGTATGTCTCTCTATATCCAGGAGATGTATTAACTCATCTTTAAGAAATGACTGTTAGCTAATCCCATTATAATGTAGCAGCTAAATTAAATCAAAATATATGATTTATTTTTAAAACTATATATTTACTTTCAGTCAGGGTCTCACTATGTAGCCCTGGCTGTCCTGGAACACACTGTGTAGACCAGGCTGGCCTCAAACTTGCAGAGATCTGCCTGTCTCTGCCTCCTGAGTGCTGGGACTAAAGGTATGCACCACTATATCAGGTTAAAAATATATAATTTGTTTAGCTGACAGGAATTCGTCTAATATTTTAGGGGGCAGAGGTTGCTTGGGTGACCCTTTTTTGTTTAAACATACCACAAAATTAACATTTTCTTTTTTTATTAATTATTATTATTACAATGTATTCACTTTGTACCCAGCTGTGACCCCCTCTCTCATCCCCTCCCAATCCTGGCCTCCCTTCCTCTTCTCCTCTCATGCCCCTCCTCTAGTCTACTGATAGGGGAGGTCCTCCTCTCCTTCCGTCTGATCCTAGCCTATCATGTCTCATCAGGACTGGCTGCACTGTCTTCTTCTGTGGCCTGGCAAGGTATCACTGCCCAGGGGGAGGTGATCAGAGAGCCAGCCATGGAGTTCATGCCAGAGACAACCCCTGCTCCCCTTGTAAGGGAACTCACTTGGACACTGAGTCTATTGGCTACATCGGAGCAGGGATTTTAGGTCCTCTCCATGCATGGTCCTTGGTTGGAGTATCAGTCTCTGCAGGGACCCCAGGGCCCAGTTTTTTGTTTTTTTGTTTTTGGCTCTGTTTCTCTTCTTTTGGAGCTCCTGTTCCCTCCAGGTCTTTCTATCTCCCCCTTCTTTCATAAAATTCCATGCATTCTGCCCAAAGTTTGGCTATGAGTCTCAGCATCTGCTTTGATACCCTGTTGGGTAGAGTCTTTCAGAGCCATCTGTGGTAGGCTCCTGTCCTGTTCCCTTTCTTTTATTTGGAAACTTAGAATAGTTTTCCTAAGAGGATCATACATTTGTCTGGAAGCTAAGTGAATTACTGACAAGCATGCTAGAAACAATAAGTAGCCATAAACTGTTCTATTAAAATTGTGTTTTATGTTGGGTGTGGTGGTACATTCCTGTAATCCCAGCACTGGGGAGGCAGAAGCAGGCAGAGGCAAGCAAGTTCAAGGCCAGCCTACAAAGTGAGTCCACGACAGCCAAGGCTATACAAGGAAATCCTGTCTCAAAAAAAAAAAAAAATCTGTATTTTGTATTTTACAATGGAATGGCCACACAGCCTTTTCACTGCAAGCTGCAATTTGAGGCTCCTCCCTGGAGTGGTGTGAATAGGAATGCCCGCCATAGACTCATGTGTTTGAGTGCCTGGTCTGCAGTGAGCAGTCTGTTGGGAGGTGTGGCCTTGCTGGAGGAAGTGTGTCACTGTGGGGGTGGGCTCTGAGGTCATATATATATTCAAGCTGCACTCAGCGAGGGACACAGCAGCTTCTGCTGCCTGCAGATCAAAGGTAGACTCTGGGCTCCTTCTCCAGCACCATGTCTGTCTGCAGGCTGCCATGTTTCCCGCCATGATGATAATGGACTAAACCTCTGAAACTGTAAGCCAGCAAAATTAAAATTAATTAAATCAAAATTAAGAATTAATTTCTTTCTAAGAGTTGCTGCCACCATGGTGTCTCCTCACAGCAACAGAAGGCCTGACTAGGACACCCTTTACTCCCCATCCTAAGAGACTAACATGCTGGGAGTAGACCTAAGAGCTGTTCAGTGTCTGTGTGTGAGGCTCTCTCCTTAAAACACCATCAGAATCCAAGCGCAGCTCTAGACTGTGTAGCCACTACTCAGGAAGCCGTCAGGGCAGAAAAGTCGGGAACATCACAGGGACACAGTGAAACATACAGAAAGAAGGAAATGCTACTGGGGAATGATCCCATTTCTTTCCCTAATCAACAGTATAAAAAAGGGAGGGGGTGCTAGAGACCAAACAAAGCATGAAAGGCATTAAAACAAAAGGACACATTTTGATCCTAATTTGAACAAAATAAACGAGACAATCTTGGAAAGCAAACACACACTATAATCGAGGAATTATAATTCTGTTGGCTATAGTTATTAGTACTGTGACTATATTTTTAAAAAGGAAGAGCTGAGAGGAGATAGGAGGAGGAAGAGGGAAGGATCAGAATGACAGAGGGGCAGGGTAAGAGACAAAAGGGAGGAAGGAAGGGAGGGAAGAAAGGGAGAAAAGGAGAGAGGAGGAGAATAGGAGGGAGAGAGGGAAGAGGAGGCAGGAAGGAGGAGAGGCAGGCAGTCCACTCAGGAGATGCATAGTGAGGAGAGAGGTGACTGAGCGAAGCGAGAGACAGATGGGAGCCAACAGCAACCGTGATGCTAAAGCTGGGTGAGGATGTGGGTTCGCTACCGTCGCTACCTTCGCGCTTTTTTGGACAAGCCAGTCAGCATTCGGACTGCACTGCTGCGCCACCGCCCCTGACATGGGGTGATGACGTACCTGCTCCAGGGGGAGCTTTGCAGTCCAGGCAGCGTCTAGAAGACTCTTCCTCTGACTTTTAGGGGCATCTCTCACTTGCAGGAAGAGTTCCTGTGCATTCACACCGCACAGCTGGCACACACCGTGTTCTGCTGCGAACACCTGGGCTCTCAGGTAACTGTTATTGGATCGGATCCAGAATTCGTCCTGACACTTGAGGGAGCAGAACCGTGAGTCCCAGGCGCTGGCTTTAGACCCTTGCTCAGGCTGGCAGGTGGGGTGCTGGCAGCGGAGGCAGAGCGGCCTTCCTTCCTTATCCACAGCCTGGATGTAGCCTTTGGACGGGGATGGCTCAACAGCGAGGTCAGCTGGGCAGGGATTTGGAGATGGGACACAGGCTCGGCCAAGCTTTCTACAACAGAACAAAACAGTGTATCGGTCAGTAGTGAAGCTGGGGCATTGCTCTGCAGAGGCCTCAGATCTGGTGTTCAGTCAGCACCCCATCCAGCCATGCCACAAACATCAATTTAACACAAGCATCCACTCAAGTGCTTCCCCCCAAACACTTCCACACAGCAGATGACACTGGACAATGAGACAAACTTGAAATGCTCATTCAAACTAATGAGAAAGGTCCACAGCACTCTAGCGGCGACTCTGTTCCTTGGACACTGAGTCCAAGCCTTCTTGGACTCAGCTGGGCCACATGCCTTCTCAGCCTCAGGGCCTGATGGGTTTTCCTGTTCTTCTGCTGCCTTACAGGGTGAAGGAACTGTCACAGCCAGACTGACAGAACAGGAATTAGAATAGAACACCTGCTAAGTATCAGGCTTCTCCAGGTAAACTCCAAGTTCCTCAGATAAAATTTAGGAACGAAACACAAAAGGACACATGCTCAGTTAACTAGGATCCCAACTGTATTGGGTCAATATGACTGACACAGTGCCAGGCTGGCAGACAGAGTTCAGGGCTGAACTCTGGCCTCCTGGCATGTTTGCCCAGGCTTGGGGCAGGTCACATAGACCCCTGGCTTTGGGAATTCCTCATCTCTAATGTCGAAGATGATAAGCTCATGGGACTAAGAGGGCTGTCAGAAGGCCTGGAAAGCCATTCACTCATGACACTGTTTTGTGACCTCTGAAATGGCCACACTGTGGGGGCTTTTATCACAGGAAGTGGTGTGTAAGTTTGAAGCAGTATTCTTTACGATGCATATAAACATCTTACTTTGTGGATGGGTCCTGTGGCCTGGACTCCTTGGTGATCAAACGGATGTGTCCCCCGTCATTTTTCACCTTATTCATGGAGGCTGTGGCAACATCTTCTTTGGTGATGTATCTAGAACAATTGGGTGTCAAATGCATTTTTATCATATAGGAGCTTCTGGGGAGGGAGACACTGCTCAGTGTAGCCATTGGTGAGGCGTCCGTGCTCCAGTAAGCAGCTCTTCCCCGGGCTCCTGGAAGCCACCCTAAGGAAGTTCCTTAGGCCACACACACAAAGGCGGGGGTGGGTAGAAGAGAGACTAGTTAGGAAGAGGACAAGGCGACAGTAGAAGTGGGAGGCGGCGAGAGACAACGGGGGTATGATCAGAATGTATTATATACACACAGGAAGATGCCGTAACGAGATCCATTATCATGTGTAATTCCTACAGAGTACTAAAACACAAAAAGAAAAGGTTTCTGTACTTTCTTCTGTTTTGAGTCCTACTTTGTAGTTCTGGCTGGCCTGGAACTCCCTTTAGGTCAAGCTGGCCTTGAGCTCACAGAGCTCTGCTTGTCCTGTTTCCCCGGTATTAAGAATGTGCACCACCATGCTCAGTTATTTTCTGTATTTTTAGAAAATCTTTACAATTTTAAAAATTGCATGCACAGTGCATGCAGTACCTACAGAAGCAGAAGAGGGCATCAGATCCCCCTGGAAATGGAGTAACAGTCACTTGTGAGCTCTCTAATGTGGATGCTGGGAACCAGACCCAGATCCTCTGTAAACTGTAAGAACTCTTAACTACTAAGCCAGCTCTACAGCCCCTTAAGTCTTTTGAAAAATAATCTTTCTCCTCTCTCCCTCCTTCCTTCCCCTCTCTGTTGCAAGTCAGTGTCAGTTTTTTGTTTTTGTTTTTGTTTTTTAAATTCTAACAACTAGCCACTAGGTTCTAGGGAAATGACCAGCTACAAGCATGATTGACAGTCTTACGGAAGCTGCCTCTCGAGGTGCACAGAAACTTTCCAAGTGTGTCTAGCGTGTCCCCTCTTCTGATCTTCTCTTTGAGACCCCAGCACAACACCTCCGCTACAGCACTGCACAGGGTTGTGTAAAGTGACTCATGTAGCTAACTGAGTTCAAGTGGATCTCCCATGAGCTAAAGGTTGCTGCCAAAAGCAACAGCCCCTTTGTTCTCCAGACTCTTCTGCACGGACAAAGTCCTTCTGAGGCGGGAGTCAGACCTCATCACACACTATCAGCAACATACCTGGCTCAGGCACTGGAAGTAGAAAGGAAATTAATTCAGTCAAAGGTGATGGGGGAATTAAGTAGGTGAAGTGCAATTACCCAATTAATTTCTACTAATTAGAATGACCCAGTTTCTATGCTAGTTTACCCATATTGTAGGCATTTTAAATTCCACGTGGACTTAAATATGACTCTCTTCATGCTCAGCTTTTTTGTTTGTTTGTTTGAATGTGGGTGCTGGGGATTCAAACACTGGCCTTCATGCTTGCACAGAAAGTTCTCATTGAGCCATCTCCCCAGCCCTGTCTATTTTAAAAGTTCCATGCCATTCTACTATTGGAGGATAAACCATGTGAAAATCTATCACAGTTTTTGATTAATGGGTTGTCAGGCTCCAGTACACATTTACATCTACTGTATTTAAAACAATGTTCTAGACTCTAGAGAACACGAGTCTCTTAAAGAATATTTTCTTCCATGTGGACAGCTGTCTGCCTGTTTGTGCACTTCTTATGTGCCTCGTGCATGTGAGAGACAGAAGAGGGTGCTGGGTCCCCTGACCTCGAGTTACTGACTGTTCCGAGTGGCCAATGGGTGCTGGGAATTGAACTTGGGTCTGGATCTGGAAAAGCGGCCAGTACTCTTAGTATCTGAGCCATCTCCCCAGCCATATGACCTGTATGTATATGGACTACGGTGACGGCTCTGCATGGCTCTGCAGCTGAAGTGCTTGATGGGCAATCGTGAGAACCAGACTTTTATGCCGAAGAATCCATGTAAGGGGCAGCGGGTGTGGCGGCCCAGCTGTAGCTGAGCATCAGAAGCTGCTCCTATAGGTAAGCGCTGGCTTTGAGAGGCTCACTTCAGTGAGCAAAGCGGAGAAGCAACTGAGGGTGATTCCTGACATCGACCTCAGGTCTCCACATGCAGATGTGTGCACAGGCACCCACACAGGTGTGTCTCCCCAGAATAAAACAACAACAAACACAGAAACTATACACTCTGAGAAACGACCTCAGGAACCAACACAGTGGTTGCTGGTCTCGGCCATTTCCAGTCATCTAAGACTGAGGTCCCTGGAAGCAAGCTGCAGGAGCTCAGAGTGGACAAGGCCCACAGCTGGTGGGATTGCTTGCTGGGGCGTGGTCTTGTGGGGGATCTAGTAACTGTTTTCAGGAATCCCAAAATTTAGTACGTACATCTTTTGTTGTTGCTTTTGAAGTTGTTCTGGAGACATTTAATTTGCGTGTGTGCATGTGTGGGTGGGTGTGAATTTATGTCTGCAAGTGTGAATGCATTTGGGTGTATGTGCAAGTATAGGTACATGGAGGCCAAGGGTTGATGCCAGGTGCCTTGATGGACCACTTTCTACTTTATTTACCAATACTGGGTCTCTGGGTCTCTTGCTGAATCTGGAGTTTGCTAATTTGGCTAGTCTAACTAGTCAACTTGCCCAAAAGATCCCTGTCTTTGTGTCCCAAGTTGACTGCTGGGATTTATGACAGGCCATCGCCTACCCAGCTTACACAGGGTGCTGGGGATACGAACTGGCCCTTATACAAGCAACTTATACACTGAGCCATGTCTTCAGCTGATATTCAGTATTTTAAAGAAAAGAATCCTCCCTGTATATGCCTCGGGAATGAAGTGTGATGTGTCCCTCTTGGGTTAAGGTTCTCTGAAAAGTAACCAGGTAGGATGGCAAAGGAGAAGGAGCTTGCTGCCTCCCAGGCAGAGCTCCGCTGCTCAGCCTGGTCTTCCATACCTGCTCTGGATGTACGCCCTTACCCTAACACTGCCACTCACAGAGCTCACCACACAACACCAGTCTGCTGAGTTACTTCCCTCCGTGTCTACCAAGCTTTATGAAAGACGTCCCTTTCTCTTCCTCTCTCTGACCAGTCACCCAGGTGTCTAGATGAAGAGCTTTCTTCCTTCGCCTTCTTTACCTAACATGGCTGATTCTTAGGTATGTTCTGTGGCGATGATAATCTGTGATGTCTCCAGATACTGTGACCCTTAGGAGCAAAACTGACCCTCAGGACAGTTACTTTCCACTTCTGGAATCATAGTGCCTGTGAAGGCCCCTTGAACTGAAGTTATAGGTGGTTGTAAGCCGTTATGCGGTGCTGGGAACCAAACCCTGGTCCTCTGCAAGAGCAGCGAGTGCACTTAACCACTGAGCTGTCTCCAGGCCCTTGTTTAGTAACTCAAATGTAGACTTATGGGGGAATGTGTGTTAGGCACATTTGCTACTCTGTGATAGGAACGGAACAGCTTGCAACTGCTCCTGGTACTCTTTACTCCATACTCCTGGGGCATGCTCTGAGGCTTGGAGGGTAAAGGGTCTCTCTGTCGTTATGTCGTTAGTCCCTGCCTGAGGCTTGTTAGGTCACAGGTACCCCAAGCCCTGCTTCTGGCATCTGTTAACAAGATTCATGACACACAAAATCCAGACACGTCTTCCAGCAGATCTGATTAAGCTCACTACATATGTAACTATGTCGCTATGAAATGACATTACCATTTTTTAAAGTATATGATTCTTTCTTCCTCCGTCTTTGAGAACAAGGTCTCATGTTGCACAGACTTGCTGTGAACTCCCCATATGGCTAAGGATGGCCTTGAGTTCCTGGTCCTAAGCGATGAAATTACAAGTCTGTGCCCATGACAGGTTCATTCAGTTCTAATGAGGAAACCCAGGGCTTTGTATGCGCTGGGCAAGCACTCTATCAACAAACTATATCCCCAGGGTAATTTCCTCCTAATTCACCAAAATTTCATTAGTGGTTCCATGATGTGCCTCAGATCTCCCATAGAGACAGCCAAGAAAAGCAAAAGATGCAAAGGAAAGGCAACTCTTACCTTTTAGTACTATTTTCTTTGGCTTGTTTCTTTGTGATCTCTTCCAATGCCAGGACTGGGCTGCAGAACAGTTGCCCACTTTTCCTGACCATTCTCTGCTTCATGGCAGTCAGACTATTCCATTCTCGGACAAACCTCAGAATCTGGTAAAAAGGAAACAACGAAAAGTTAGCCATTCTTGACAAACCTTCCTTTGAAAGTTGGGATTTTACAACATGAGAAAACTGATGTATCCCTCAAAGAGGTTGAGTCCTATAGTTTAACTCTTTCTTCACCTTGATACTATTTCCACATTATAAGTTGCCCGTGTCCAGTTCAATCCAGAGTCTCTACAGCCACTTCAGCAGCCTAGCATATGCTCTGAACACTCAGGCACCAACAGTGAGAGTATGCGCACAGAGACCCAGATAGGGTACAGACCCCACAGCAGTGCAAGGAAAGCTGGCCTCAGGGAGGCAGAGCCTACAGGAGCCACAGGGATGATGTAACTTCGGAGAGTCACGCTGGATTAGATGCCTCAACAAATCTGTATCTCTGCAGGTGGCTTATCAGAATTGTTCATATCAATCAGTCACGGGTATCTGGTTCTATGTATCTGTACAGTCAGCTAGGGATCACATATCTATGTCTCTACATATGTATCTATCTAATCTACCATCTGTCTGACTGATTCTGACGGTCAGTACTAACTGATGCCAAGGAAAATAGCTCACTGCTACCTCTTCCTTCTGTGGGATGCAGCTGAGTGCTGGTCACCGCTTCATTTCCACTAACAGGGTAGTTACAAGCAGACAAAGGCCCCCTCCCCTTTCTGATAAGTATGAATGGAGGAGCACACGCCAAGGTAAGGCCTCCCTGGCAGCCGCAGCACACGGCCACGCTGACAATGAATGCGGAGTCACGGTGTGGTGTTATCCTGGCTCCTGGAATGTGCCACTGTTACAAGTTAACCTGAAGAGGGCAGGTGAGATTCTGACAGCTAAGTCCCAGCTGCTAACCCTATGAGTGAGAGCGCAATGACTCGAGGATGAGTCTGTCCTCAGCAGCAGCGGCGGCGGCGCTGGGTGTGATCACTCACCAAGGAAGCAGACTCCATATTCGTTCTTGGCACCAGTGGAATTAATAGACACTGCCTGCATGGCTAAAAACGCAGCCAGCGGTCTGACTCTGCAGCAGGCCAGAAGGCTTTCTTCCATTAGACTAAAGAGGATCTCTAAAATTATTAAAGTAGTTTTCCTGAAAATAAACAAAATTGTATTATTTAAAACTCTTCTTACCACTGAGCGATTCTGTTTCAGTTGAAAGCTTGCTGGTAAGTCTTCCCAAAGGTCTAATTTTATATCCAAAGGAATGAAGTTACAGTTCATCGGTTTTCCGTCCTGATAACAGACGAGGAGACATTATTAGTGCATTTCAGTCTGTAGGTACTGGTGACACTTAATAAGAAAAGTTTAGTTACGACGTAGCAAGTCTCCTAAAATAAACGGGAGGCACACAGTACAGAAGGGTGCAGCCAACACCAGTCCCCAGCAGAGCTGAGGCGAGTGGGGGAGGCCTCTACTGTGCCTGTACACAGCCCAACTTTCCGTTGTTAGCCTGGATGCTGCAATCACTCCCGACATACTTCTCTACTGGCTAAGCTTGGAAATATAATGGAGATGAGAAGATCTGTAAACAGGAAAGAACATCCTTGACAATAATAGCAGTACGGCCATCTCAAATGGTCTTCCTCGTGATATTAAAAATCTGACTACAATCAAAGAGCAGCACTCATAAACATCTGAATATCTCTTCCCAGATGGATTGATACAGCCGTCCACTGTGTTGGCAGGAGGGGAAGGGAGAGAGAAATTCTAGACTTATTTTAAAAATCTGCTTTCCAGAGCCATGTTACAGCGCCGCTCCATGAAGACCAGCTGTCCACGGGTGCCCACAGAGGACGCTGGGACTTCACTGAGGATGGTCATCTCGCCCATGAATGTCATTTCCTTTTTAAAGGAGCGGATGGCTTATGAAAATATAGCAGATCACCAAAGTTTCTCATATTTAAATTTTGTCAGTCTAAACAAATGCGCATGATCCACAGTCTGTCCTCTGTGACCCAGGCCATCAGCTTCTGCTACCAACTTCTCTAGGTGCACTCTCAGGCAGTGACTGGGGATGGTACAAACTTCCACCAGACAGCCCTTGTACCTCAGCACCATAAATCGTGTTTTAAAATGTAGTTTTCCAGGCTCGCAAGGTGGTCACGTGGAGAAAGGAGCTTGCTGCCGAGAATGATGCTAGAATAAGAAAATGGAGTCCTGCAAGTTGTCTTCTGACCTCACACATGCTGTGGCACAAGAATGCCCCTACACTAAAGAACTGCAAGAGTGAAAGAGACAGGAACTTTCACTAGAATAGACCAGGTAAAATTACAAGTGTAATGTGTACATCTAAGCTTATTAGGAGTTCAAAGCTGAATGAACAGTGGCATCTGCACTCTCGGCCAGCTTTTCCATACTTATATCTGTGCAATTAGGAAAACGCTCCTCACATGCGCTCATAACCTTCTCGAGGGGTCACAAAGTCACATGTGTTTGGGGACATTAGGGGACATTAGCCGCCTGTCAAGCTAACTTCCCTGTGAGAGAGTTCTTAGCAGGCTTCAGCTGTCTGGCTGAGACGAGATCATGCTACACCAGCACAGGCTGGCCTCCAGCTGGGGTTCCTCCCGCCTCAGCTGCCCCACTGCTGGGGTTATGGGCATGCACCATCATACCCTCACCCACTGTCTTCTGCTGAAGCCAGAGCGCTGCTGGAAACTGGAGTGTGACTGTTCTCAGCACAGCGCTTGAGAGACCAAAAGATTAAAAATTAGCAGCTATTATTAATTAAGGCCTGAACTAGGTGGGTAGAGAAGTCTAATAATGCCCTGAGGGGAAGGACCGTCTTACTGCATTCTTTCCCCACCCACTAGAGATACAGTTGCTAGGAAACTGGCCCATCCCCATCTAGGGAGGGACACCAGGTCATTATGGTCTGTACCTTCCTATAGCCAATCAATTCAAAATGTAGCATTTTGACCAATAGATGCTTGCCAGGCAGGAATTGCCCTTCCCTTGGGCATGCTGGGATGGACCAGAACCTTTAAATCACCCAACTAACCTGGGCACGGCCCGCTTGGCTCCCACCACTTGGGCGGTGGGAAGTGTGGGCCCAAGCTGCAGCTTGTAATTTACAATAAAAAGAACCTCATGTATTTACAGTGGAGTCTGTTTATTTCTGGTCTTTCGGGGTTCATGAACTGGGCAGAACACGCTCTGCCTTAGAAAATACAACTACTTTTAAAAAACATGTTATTCGTAGTAATTATTAGTTTAAAACCAAACAATACATGACAATTTTAAGTGTCTTCATTTTAATACAGAAAGGAGTAAGTATCAATAGATACTTATCAACAAGCCCAAGAGCTCTTGGGGTCTTGAACATATTTTCATCAAGCAAAAAGGTCCTCCTACTAAAAAGCGTGACTTTTGCCAGCCTGCAGGAGTCTGAGTGGTCCATCACAAGTTTATGGTGCCGGGGGCAGGGTGGGGCATGAGGCAGCTATAAAAATGTTGCTTCAAATGCTAAGTGCTCCACTGGGGTGAGCTCACTCTATCCTGGCAACAAATCCTCCCTACATTTACAGCTGAGGAAATGAAGCAGAGAGCAGCCGGGTGTGTCTAAGGTCACCAAAAACAGTGACAGAGGGAAGTCAAGGTCTCCTCCCCTAAAGTCTTAACGATGCCACTTTGGCCTCTAGTTGTCTTTGGATATCACACAGGAATTTGATGACAAGTTATAAGAAGGCAAAAACTGGTACCTATCTTATTATTAAGGCTGCTCTCTGAAAGGGAAGAAAGGAGGCCTGTCTTCTAACGTGTGACACAGAGTCTGTGTGAACTTACCTTGGTATAGAGGTGGACCCGCTCGGTGTTCCGACTTGCACAGAACATGAAGGTCTCACACGCTGGCAGAGTGCCTGAATTATTCAATTGCCCTAATGAAGATAACAAGAGACTGAAAGGCTTGTCTACTCTGTCTAAAGCAGCTCCTCTGGGACCTGGAGAGAGGACCCCGCAGCTCAGTCTGAGGCCCAGCACCCCTCTGGGTGGTTCACAAGCACCTGCGACTCCAGCTTCCGGGGACCTGATGCTCTCTTCTGGCCTCTCTGGGCATCCACACATACAAGGTCATACGCATGCTCAGATGGATAAATAAAAAAAAAAAAAAATAGATCTTCAAAAATAGCTTATTTTACTGTTCTGCAGGTTGGAATGATGAAACAGCTATATATAAAACCAACACATCTGATTAGCAAGTCATGACTAGACTTAAAATAAAACTCCCAAAGCAATCTTCCATGAGCATCAGCTCATAGGAAACTGGGGCCTTTCTTTACTCTTAATTCAGTCGTGGTTTGTCAGTGACCTTTGAAAACTCTAGAAGCTTGGCTCTGCTTGCCACTGTGGTAGGAACGTCACCATCACGTTAGTCTTCTAGTCACTGGCTACTCTGCAAATCTAGTTTGAGACTTATTCCTACCACTCCAGTAGACAAGGTCACCATCGTATTAGCTTTCTAGTCCCTGGCTTCTCTACAGTTCCATTTTGTGACTTATCCCTATAAATGAGAAGGAAATAGAAAGTTCTGAGTACCAGAGACTGAAAGGGCAGGGCATGCTGGGGGGGACAAGGGAGGGAAGGGAAGTGTGGTCCAGACACAATATGCACATATGAAACTGTTACAGTGAAAAGCAGTTTGTACAGTTAGTGAGTTAATGATTAAAAACCATCTCTGGCTGGGGGGTGGTGGCTCACAGCTTTAATCCCAGCACTCAGGAGGCAGAAGCAGGTGGGCCTCTGTGAGTTCAAGGCCAGCCTGGTCTACAGATCCAGTTCCAATCTCTGAACTAGTGTCTAATAACAAAGACATGTTCCAATCCTTACTGCCTAGGTGGCAGCTGTGAAGTGGCTGTCTGGGCTCATGTGCGCTCACTCACAGCTACAACACCGCTGTCCCTCAAGGCCATGCATGATGTGTGTGCGCTGCTAATACATAACGTACTGCCTTTACTTCTGCAAGTCTTCTCAGTCCTTTCCCGCACGCACGGGGCTCTCCAGATGACTTAGTGGGGGAAGGCACTCGCTCGCTGTGCAAGTCTGCTGAGTTGAGTTCGCTCCCTGAAACCTACCTAAGGATGGAAGGAGAACCGACTCCACCAAGCTGTCTTCTAGCCTCCACGCGTGTGACACGCACACTCACTGGCCTCAGCCATCACACTACTACTACTGACTGATGCAGGATATTTGCTCACATTGTGAGCCCTGAGACTGTAAACTCAAAACAAAACAAAACAAACAAAAAAACATTTGTTGTGGTATGACTCAGCCCTAGCTAACCCCTAATCCAAGAGCTAAATGAAGTCAACCATAGGACAAGAGGCAAAGTAAGCAGCCAGTCAAAGGATGACCACACGGAAACGACGCCGAGTGGAGGGTCCCTAAACAGCATGGAGAGGAAGACGGGCTTTTCCTTCTGGGACATGGGTGGAGCAGGAAGGTCAGCTGGGTGCTTTCTCTGCCTCTCTGAGCTAGCAAATTTTAACCCTAGCACTTGGCTCCTGAGTCTTCGTTGGTAAAATTGAACGATCAGGATTTTCTTTCTATATAACAACAATAACAAATAATAATAATAAATAAAATTAAAAGGCATTTTCTGTATGTTCTGGAATCAAAAGGAGAAAGTATATATATATAAAAACAAACAGGTAACAGAACAGGACAGCACAGGTTTAAAGCCACAGAAGTCAACTCCTGAGGAATAACTGACATCTCTCCTGAGGAAGCCACCACATGTTTTGCCCCTGGGTGTGTGCAAAGGGACATCTACTATAGGCCTCACAAAGCAGGGAGGCAGAAGGCCCCGTGCTCCAGGTCCTCAGGACAAACAGACTCACAGCTGCACGGGACATGTCTGGGCTCTGCCTAAGGCACTGTACCACGGCTTAATGAGAGAAATTTTGTCTGCTCACCTCGGTCAGAAGAGCATTTTGTAATCAAGGGTGTCATATTTTAAGAGCTAGGCATTAATACGTAAATATTAAAAGTCACTCTTTGATAAAAGATATTCATAGGGTCAGTGCCAAAGTAGTCGACAGTTGTTGGGAGCTGAGAGCTGCACTATGGGAACAGGGCCTCGTCAGTGTTCCCAGGAAGCATAATCTCACAGTTTGAGACTACAGGTGGATCAGCTGCTGATGCAGCCATCCTTCCAGATCCTTATGTTTCGTTTCTTTTCTTTTCTTCCTTCCTTCCTTTCTTCCTTCCTTCCTTCCTTCCTTCCTTCCTTCCTTCCTTCCTTCCTTCCTTCCTTCCTTCTTTCCTTTCTTTCTTTCTTTCTTTCTTTCTTTCTTTCTTTCTTTCTTTCTTTCTTTCTTTCTTTCTTTCTTTCTCTTTCTTTTTTTGATTTTTAGAGACAGGGTTTCCCTGTGTAGCGTTGGCTGTCTAGGGCTCCCTTTGTAGACCAGGCTGGCCTCAAACTCACAGAGATCTGCCTGCCTTTGCCTCCCCGACTTCTGGGATCATAGGTGTGCGTTACCTTGCCTGGCAAGATCTGTGTGTTTCTAGTAAGACTAAAAACACCGGTCCAGAGTAGCATACATCACTCTGGTTCTAGTTTCTTTGTTCCTGCTGAAAGACCCATCCCCAAGTGCTAATGCAGTATAGGGCCTGGGAAGGCACACACTGGGGAACAAGTGTTGGCAGCTCTGAGCCTCTTCCTCCTGGCTAGGAAATGGAGGGTTGCTAGCTGGGCATTGGTTCCTTGGTACAGACATCTGCTAGCTCATTCCTACAAATCAGAGCTGGGGAAGTAGCTCATTTGATGCAGTGTTTTGCTAGCATGCACAAAGCCCTAGGTTCAGTACCAAATATAAACATAAGCCAGGTGTGGTGGTACACACTGGGAGATGAAGGCAGGCAGACAAGTTCAAGGTTATCCTCCACTATGTAGTGAGTTCAAGGTCAGCCTGGGCTACAGGAGATTCTGTCCCAAAAAACCCAAGCTGGGGCCAGCAAGTTAGTAAAGGCAGTGGCCACCGAGCCTGAGCTCATGAGTTTAACCCACATAGAAGGAACAAAGAAACTAGAGACACACAAGAAGGTAAGCCCTCTGACTGTATCCAGCTCATTTGAAGGCTGTGAAATCAGATCTAGACAGCATTTACTCTCACACTCTTTTGGGAAGACTATGAGGGAAGGAAAGGAAGGCCAAAGGAGAAAGAAAAGAGAACACCTTAGGTTCAACATACTCTTTTTTCTTTTTTGAGACAGGGTTTCTCTGTGTAGGTCTGGTTGCCCTGGAAATAGCTCTGTAGACCAGGCTGGCCCCAAACTCAGAGATCCACCTGCCTCTGCCTCCTGAGCACTGGGATTAAAGGCATGCTCCAGTGGTTAGGTTCAGAAATTCTTAAACATTAAATTTTGAAGCTATGAATCTCACTTCAAATTATGTCAGTGTTAACAGCAGTTAACTTAAAAGTTCACAATTTGGGATGGCTTTAAGACGCACGCCAATCTGCAGGTCACTAAGCCAGTCAAAAAATAAAATAATCCCAAATTATAGTACTCTGCCAGCTGGTCCCCACAGAGTTACAGGCTGGCATTTACAGCTCTAAGTAACACAAACAGGTCAAGCAACAAAAATAAAACCTGACCACTAAGGACTCAGTGTTCAGTCATTCGTCTGGCCTTTGTGTCTGTACAGAATGTGTGTGTTTGCACCTGAATGCTGGGTGTGCGGGCGTTCCTGTCACACCTGGCTGGCATGTGGCTGGTGGGGACAATCTCAGGGTCCCATGCTTGCAGGGCAGGCACTCTCCCCACTGAGTCATCCCCCAGCTCAGTTCAGATAGCCTTGGATTTACGTTCCTCGTTTCTTAGCTACCTAGAAGCATTAATGATTTGCTCGAGGGCTGTGGGTTCTCTGTCAATCTGATCACTGTGACCTGCTGCGCCACCCTAATAGAAACGCCCTTCTCCCTCTCAGTGAGCTCGCTGTGGGAAGGCAGGGCAACATTTTGGCGGCAACAGCAATTTACTGGTTGTGATGCTATGGAGCGCTGACACCAGCAGAGAGCCATCTGGTTCTTAAGGTGTTTCTGAGAGAGGTAAGTGTTCCAACATAGTACTTGGGATAAGGCATCAATCACAAGTTTAATAACAGCACTATGTATTAAAGCAGGTGGCACTTAGTTTTAAAACAGGGTCTCATATAGACCAAGCTGAGCTCAGATTCACTATGTAACCAAGGATGACCTTGAAATGACCTTGAAACCACAATCTTCCTGCCTCTTCCTCCTGAGTGCCGGGCTTACAAGCTTTTCATCATAACTGGCTTATTCAGTGCTGGGGAGTGAAGCTGTAGACTCAGGCATGGTAGCTCAGAAGTCTACCAGCTGAGCCACAACCCTGGTCCAGTTATTATCTGAGCAGTAGAAATGGACGCAGAACTTACCAGTCCCTGCCTGGGATAGCAGTCTGCCTTCCCTCTCACCTTCCAATGTTTCTTCCTTCTTATTAGCCAACTGCCCCACTTCCGAGTGTTCTGGCAGTTGTTTTAAACAGTCCAAACCAGCCTGATCATTTTTGGAGGAGCTTTTCTGAGAATTATCTTCCCCATTTTTGTTGTTATTCTCCATATGGTTGAGGCCAGCTAGAATTATTAAAATAATTTAAATGTAACAAGCACAGATGAAAATATCACAGCTCAATTTTGTAAAGAAAACAAAAACAAAAACAAAACAATAAAGCTAACAATGTTTACTCACTTAGCAGGAAGAGACTGTTTGCCCTGCCTCCTGATACACAAAAATGTAAACAAACAAAAATGTATCTACAGATGAGGAGAGTCAAACTGGAGGCAGAGAGGGCAGCTAGGAGAGGGTGCACTTTGGAACTGTAACAAAGCAATATTAGAGTATTACACATAGCTCAGGCTGTCAGCACCATGCTGGGAGAGTCCTACCTAAACTCAGAGCTGCTAAGACCTGCACCCTTGGATGTTCTCCGCATAAAGATGGGGAGCAACAGAGACCCTCCGAGAGAAGCAATGATGACTGCAGTTCCCTGCCCACTCCAGGTGTTGTTATGTAGCCTTGGATGGCTGGAACTCATAGAGCTCTACCTTTGTCTCCAACGAGCTCGGGTTGAAGGCACATACCGCCACGCCAAGCTGGTGCCCATTATTAAAGGGCGCTTGTGACTGCTTTGCATGTAAAGATCCCAAACAGCAAGACTGAAGCGGGGGTGCTACTGGGTCTTGATAAAACTGCTGATGGCTTCCAGTGGTAGGAACAGGAGTAAGGAAGGGGTGGGAGAAGGGATGGATTTTGAGTTTAACAATTGAGGGGAGGTAAGAAGGTGATCAAGGATACTATTGAGGTTTAATTTTTTAAATTTCTTTTCATTTAACGTGTATGGGTAACCTGCCTGCACGTATGTCTGTGCACCATGTGTGTACAGGATCCATGGAGGCCAGAAGGTGGTGTAAGCAGCTCTGGGACTGCAGTTAAAGCCTTGGGAAGAGCCGTGTGGGTGCTGGGAATCAAACCTGGCTCTCTGCAACAAGAGCACAGGCAGGCACAAGCCCTCACACCAAAGGTTGGCATTTGGTGTCTTCTTCAATCATTTTCCACACCATCTTGGTTTCTCACTGATCCCAGAGATAACTGATTTGACTTTGCTGGCTAGGCAGTTGGTAAATTCCAGAAATCTGCCTGTTTGAATATTCCCAGGTCAGGGATGTATGCTGAGCCTGCCTTTCTATGTGGGTGCTGAGATCCAAACTTGAGTCTTCCTGCCTACCCACCCACCAAGACAGGATTTCTGTTAGCCTTGGCTGTCCCAGAACTTGCTCTGTAGACCAGCCTGTCCTCAAACTCAGAGATCTGCCTGCCTCTGCCTGGGATTCAGGTGCTGGGACTAAAGGTGTGTGTCACCACCACCAGGCCTCGAACTTGGGTCTTAATGCTTATGTAGCAGGCAGTAGACTGGACTGAAATATCTCTCCAGTCCTTGAATTCTAGTCTGAATATGTTAAGCTTGTAGTTCCCATTCCATACCCAAGCAGAAATTTGTGTAGGCTGCTTTGGATAAACCACTCTGACATTTAAGTCAGTTAGCTGGCCAGTTTCAGCTATTAGTTGTTACATATTATCATTCAATGTATCCTATGCCTGTGTCTACTCCAAAGCACCTCAGGCCTGAGTTAGCAGCTTTCAGAGACTGCAACATCCTAATATGACTCCTTTAATTTTTTGGATTCTGTTTCTTTGGAGGGTTACATGGAAAGCTCTATTAAACTTTTAATTAGTATTAATTCCGCCCTTTAATACTTTAGGGGCATAAACAAAGGTATAAGATCATCATTCCAATTATAATAATGTAAAACTGGCCACTGCAATGTTGAGATGCATTGAGACCACTGTTCCCTGAGGTTTTTTCGTTTGTTTGTTTTGTTTTTTTATCTTTAAGCAGGCTGTTTCATTCTCACCACTGTCTTTTATTTTTTATTTTTTAAAGTTTCTTGGCAGGTTGCTTCTTATTCAATCATAGGTCTAGAAACTTTCATTGTTGCTCTTGGCATCACAAGGGAAAAACCAGAACTATCAAACACAGTAAGCTATGATTTTTTTTCTAAATGAGTCACTCTCTGCTCTGCTGTGAGCTGACATTATTCTATCGTCACAAGTTGCTTTATTTTGATTGTCTGCTCCAGCTGGGATGGCAGGGGGTCATGTTAACTGTGGCAAGGACATCGAATGGAGAAAGTCTGTGGTTCTAGTGCAGTTTTGGAAAACAGGTGCCCACATAACAAATACATCTACCCAGATGGCCACTTGTCAATTGTGACAGAGTTCTCAGAAGGGAGAGAGGAAAAACTTAGCCACTGACGGGCCTCCTTCAGATCAAAACTACGACAGGAGTGGGGAAATTGTAACATGAGAGTTCTCTTGGCTCTGTGTTCGTTAGAATCAATTGTCAGAAGAGTAAATATGTAGGCGAACCGATGTGAACAACCACGCCATTGATAAAACAGCCTATTTCTAGTTTCCAAAACTGTCAGCTTGGCACCTTTTCACTGCCATAAAATGCTCTCTGAAACTGAAAACAGAGAGAATGTCATTTTCTGTTATATCATATTTATTTTGTATGCCTGTGTGTTGGTTGGAGTCTTTTAGTAAGACTGTGAGAAGAGCTTAGGACTTGTCCGGCATGAAATATGGCACAATGCATACTAAGCAGGCCAAGCAGTCACCACATGATCCCATCCGCAAACAAAACCCTCTATAGCTCCTTAAAAACAAGAATATCTACCTGCTTTATAACAGCAGGTCTGTGATGGGCAGCACATTTGCTACCTTAGCAACAAGGCTTCTGTCCACTGAGCTTACACCCTTCTGATATTAACCAGAAATGCCCATTTGTGCCAAATTAATGCCATGCCAGTGACACTCAGGATATGCATTCTCAACAGAACCAGGAGTCGTTCACATTCCACAGGGGATGAATTTACAGTCTCCACTCAGTGAAACTCTTACTCCATCTTAAGGCCTCAGGCCTGCTGAGTCACAAGGCACTTCAGTACCAATGTACCTGAAAGCTTGGATGGTCTTCAAACACCTGCCAGGCGCCACCCCTGCTGTGGATATAAACATGGTTTTGTTTTGCTCCCAGGTGTGGGATGTGGGACTGATTCAGATGGCCACAGCAGCAGACTATTTGCTTCGTGCTGGCTCTGAGAGGAGCTCTTTGCCAGCCAGAATGAAGAAAGTCTGTGGTTCTAGTGCAGATAGTTTAAATCTGAGGGCTCTGGAGAGACTAAGTGCCAGAGCCCAGAGTGTGGAAAACAGGAGAATGAGTAATGCTGCTCCTGCTTCCCCCTTGCTGCTCCTGGTCGCTGTTGTGAGACAAGAAGATGCGGATCTCCTGAAACAAGGACTGGACTGGCTCCAAGGAACCTGGTGGCCCTCACCAGCAGGAAGCAGCTAAGAAAGAATTGCGCCCCCTTTCCCACTAACCCTTTCTCCTCCTGCCTGGTGTTAGGGTGTTGGAAGGGACTGGGGTGGAGTAGGGAGAGAAGATATAAGAACCGTAAATAAAAGGGTTTTAAAAAGAACGACAACATACCCCTCAGCCCACCTTCGCCTTCTGTGCACTCACCAGCTCTGCCCTGAGGGTTCTCACACATCTCACAGTAAGGAAGGACCGGGTCATTGAGGAAGGTGCAGAAGCCACACTGCCACCCCTTCTCAGGAAGCGCTGGGGAGGCCAGCGGGGACTTGACCTCATGGACACCTTCCATGGATGTGGCTCTGACTCGCAGGGACGGACTTTCCTCCAGAGTGCCGCTGAGTGTCTTCAGTCTTTTAGCTTCAGGTTCAAAACCATTTTTGTCATCAGCGCTGTCACTTGTAGCCATTTTTCCAGGGTCTGAGGCCACTTTAATCTTCTCCTTGAATACCTTTGATTCCTCACAGGATGTTTCCGACTGTCTCTTTTTCAGTTTTGGTAAGAAGAATGATCGAATATCATGCTGCTTTTCTTTTTCAAACTAAAATCATCCAACAGTTATCAAATGAGGGAGCAACTGTTCTTCCTCAGTGAAAGAACATTTTCACTAGCCAGACTGACTGGCAATGAATCCAATTACAGTACCATATTTCATAAACACATACAACTCAGTGTAATAAACATAGTCATGTACTGGATGAATATCGCCACACACTTCCTATGTCTTTTTGCCTAGCCCTTATTAGGTGCTGAACTCATTTCACCTTGATGCTTGCCCTATGAGGGAGGCATTCAGGTGAGGAAACAAACATTTTAGAGAAGTTAGGGGCTTAGCTACAGAAGTTATGAAATTAAAATATACTTCCTAAACTACCTGCCTTAGACTCACATCTGGTAAAAGAAGGAATTGTGGAAGAAAACATTTCAAACATATAAAAATGATATTTTAAGTCAATCAAGAACCTAGAAAAATGCTTTCATGGCCAAACTGTAAACATACTGTATATAAACTATGTCACTCTTTCAAATAGGGTTAGAATATTCATCCTGACCTCCAAATGTACACACATGTGAACGTATACTCCCACATGTCGTTTACATACCTGCAAAAATACAAGCACACACATACACACACACAAATGGTAAAAGAAAAAACCCTTTCCTTTGTTTTCTATGGTTTTATTACCTTTTAGCCCAGTATTCTAAAACTTCATAATTACTGACATCTATATGTATCTACAGAATCTATGTTTATATGCCTCAAAATTCTACTCAGCACTTAGGATACCTTATTCAATTTGGATAACATATTTCTCTTATAAATTTTCATGTTTTAAAATATAATTTCTTCCTTTCAATTTTCTGGGATCCCTGTTAGCATAATTGTGGGCCTACCCTTTACATCTTATTAGGCTCACATTTCCTTTTGCTCTTTTTCTTCTAAAATATTACGCTTTCCTCTACTTAGCTTCCCTCTTGGCTACAGAATTATTTGCATTTGGCAGTTACGTGCTTAAAATCTTACCACATTTGCTTATCCACTATGTGTGTGCTGTGTGTCGGCGTGGACGTGGGTGCTGGAGCGCGTGTACCGTCGGAGGACAGCTTGTAGGAGTCTGTCCTCTCCTAGAACTTGTGTCAGCAGCTTCATGGCGAGGGCCGTTATTTGCTGAGCCGTCTCCCCGCCCGGCAGCTGCACACGTTTAACGTCTAAGCGGCTTCCTGTTCCCTGTTCCTTTTCCTTCACGTCTGCAGTATCACTGCAGTCTGGAGCTACTAACTAGGGATTTCAAAAGGTTCTCTTCAGTATCTGCTTTTGTATTTGTTTACTTCTCTTCATCCTTGTCACTTCCTCATCAGACACTCAGTGACCCTTTGCTGTTCCTTTACGTGAAGAACGAGAAACAGGGAGGGGGCTGGTGAAATGGTTCAGTGGGTAAAAGTTCTTGCTGTGCATGTCCACCAATCTGAGTTCAATCCCTAGAAACCTCAAAAGTGGAACCACTGAGTATGGTCCTCTGACCCGCAAGTGCATGGAAAGGGAAGGCTGCCATGGACCTCAGGACTCACAGGGCTGATCGCCAACAAGAGAGGACATTCTGGTTGTTTGTGAGAACTGAAAATGCTGGGGCCTGGAGTGATCATAACCCTTTTAAAGGGGAAGGAAGGAGAGTGAAATGGATAAATGAATGATGAAAATGTGAATGAAAGAGCAGTGATCTGGACATCTAGGAACTGCTGATGTGCAGAGGGAGAAAATCCATAGGAATGGATGTCCAGCTACATGGAGGCAGTTTGAGAAGGAAAAGAGAAGTGAAATAGACAGGAGAGCATTCCAGATGAATGAGGGAGAGAAGCCAGATGAGCTCACCATGGTGAACAGGGAGGCCCTAAATTTCCATTCCTTAGCCCCAGTGCAGTTTCAACTGAGAGGTTTGATGTCCTTCAATTCTGCGCTGTTTGCTTATACTTCTTTTGCTTTCTCTATCTTTTCTTTTTGAACCTTTTTATTTTTTCTTTCTGGGTGGTTCCCGCCTTATCTTTTTTTCATTGTTAAATTGTTAATTTTGGCATTACAAAATTTTAGTTTCAGTCCCTGTTAGCTGATTTTCCCCTTAGTTTTGTTTCATAGATCTAACAATTTCTTTTATGTTTCTGTGGCTATTATGCAGTCTTGCTTTGTTTTGTTCTCTTTTCTTCAGCTCACTGTTTGCTTTATTGGTGGCCCTTTCTTGGCATAAAGAATTCAGTCTGTTTTTCTTTTTTAAAAATATTTATTTCTTTATTATACAATGTATACATAGTATACAATGTTCTACCTGCACGTGTGCCTACACGCCAGAAGAGGGCACCAGATCGCATTATAGATGGTTACAAGCCACCAGGTAGTTGCTGGAATTGAACTCAGGACCACCTCTTAACCTCTGAGGCATCTCTCCATCCCATGGTGGCCCATGTCTTTAATCCCATCACTTGGGAGGCTGAGGCAAGCATGCTCTACAGAGTGAGTTGCAGGATGGCGAGGGCTCTGTTTACACAGAGAAACTGTGCTTCAGAAAAACCAGAAACCAAACCAAACCAAACCAAAAACAGAGAAGTGACTTTGCTGGGTGTGGTGGCTCATGCCTTTAATCCCACCACTTGGGAGGCAGAAGCTGTTGGATCTCTGTGAGTTTGAGGCCAGCCTGATCTACAAAGAGTTCAGGACATCCAGGGCTGTTATACAGAGAAACCCTGTCTCAAAACAACAAAAACAAAGATTTACTTAAGCTATTTCTACAAATAGTTTAATATTCCATTCATTGTGTTGTACGTGTGTGGGCATTCAAGTGTGGGTGTGTGCTGGGGAGAGGTCAGAGGACAATGTGCATGGGTTGGTTCTCCATCTAGCATGTGCACCTCAAGGGTTGAACTCAGGTCATGAGGCTTGGCTGCAGGGTTCCTGACCACTGCGCTTTTTGCCAGCCCTAATTAAATGTGTCTGCTCACATTTAAGATGGTCCACAGGAAGACTTCACAGTAGCAGTTATCAGTGATGGTTCTGCTGAGCCTCACAGCCTCAAGGGGGCTTCTTGGGTCTCCTATGATGACATGGTGGTGGTCACCAGGAAGGAACAAGAACGGTAACAATCATACTTAGTTAAAATCTTTCCCTTCCTCTGTTTAGTGAGAAACTCAACTGCCTCTTTTCTTAGAGAAACATTCTTAAACCTTTTCTTTTTGGATGAGGAGCAAATGGATCGTATGTTAGCTGGTCTTGGTTGTCAACTTGACTCTATCTGGAATTAACTAAAACGCCAAATGGAGGTTACACCTGTGAGAGAGTTTGGCTTAATCTGAAGTGGGAAGATCCACTTGTAATCTGGATCTTTGAGGTAGCAGAACAAGCCTTTTTTTTTTAAGACATGGTTTCTCTGTATAGCCTTGGCTGCCCTGGAGTCCTTTTGCAGACCAGGCTGGCCTCGAACTCACAGCGATGCATCTGCCTCTGCCTCCTGAGTGCTGGGATTACAGGCTTTAACCTAGATGTGCTGAGACGGGGAAAGACCTGCCTTAGATCCAGATCTTGCGGTGGGAAGACACACCTTTAATCCAATCTAATCTGGGCCACGCCTTCTGCTGGAAGCCTGCATAGGGATTTAGAAGGAAGACTCTGCTCTTTGCCTGCTTTCCCTCACCTTGCTAGTACAGACATTCCTTCACTGGCTTTAGAGCCTACTTCCCTGGGATTCCAGGGTCTACTGAAGATCAGCTGAGACTCCAACCTCATGGACTGAGCAACTACTGGATTCTTGGATTTCATAGCCAGCCATTGTTGGGTTAGCTGGACCAAAGTCTAAATCATCCTAATAAATACCCCTAGAAAGGGGTATAGAGAGATTCCTTCTGTAAGTTCTGTTATTTTAGAGAACCCTGACTAACCCAGTCAGTATAGTTATATATGAAGGACACATTAGTGAGCCATCACATATATTCAGTTGTTTAATAATATCAGACTCTTGCCTGCTGTGTTTTTTTGCATGTCATCCTTGTGTACACATGTATGTAGGCCTGAGATTGATGAAGGTGTCTTTCTCTTCACTGTCCACCTCATACACGGAGGCAAGGTCTCACATACGCACTCAAGCTCAGTGCTCGCTGTCCTGGCTAGTCCGGCTGGCTAGCCTGTGCAGATGCTCCATGGCTCTGCCTGCTTTGTGCTGACATTACAGGTGTGCCACCATGTGCACCTGGCTTTCAGTTCTGGACACCCACGCTCTAGTCCTCACACTTGCACTACAATCCATTTCCCCTCAAGTCACGCCCAGGCCCCCGTCCACATTTTAAATAATTGTTTCTTCACAGATTTACCTTTGCAGCTCACAATCAAAAAAAGTGTACAGGAATTCTTAAAATGAAAGCAATCTTCCCAACAAAACCCCTTAAATCTTCCAACAGTGAGTTCTCAGGGCCTTCAAATATAGCAGACCTCCTTAAGGAAAGCAATTTACTTAAGCTATGTTTTAAAAGAACTTAAAAAAAAAACTATTTAAGGAATAACTAGTTTGGGAAAGTGGCATTTGAGAAATTCTCTTTTTTGCTAGCAGGAGCTGAGAGGGGTGAGCAGCAGTGAGAGACCGCGATGGAAATAGCGCTCAGCCTCCGAGATGCTGGAGAGCACCAGTGTCTGACTCCAGAGTACGTGCTGGTCTGAGGCCACGTGCCGCAGACTGAGACTTCAGCAGATAAAGTCCTGGCAGGGGGGACTGGCTGGAAAAAAATCACTATCATAATTTCTCAAGCCAAAGGACATGGCAAGAATAAAACTCCTGCAAAGAGTGCGTGATTAGCGAGGACTCTAGCTGATGTTATAAGGTGGTTAAGTTGGGTAATGAAGAATGCCATCACAGGCAGTGAAACTACAAGTGAGTGTCTTGGCCACAGGGCTGCCAGAGGCTGGAACGCTGTCGCTGTCGGAATGGAGATTTCCTGTATGTCATCAGTTAGAAACCTGACTCCTAGAGGCAGTTGAACTTCCTGATTACCACCTCTAGGCAACTT